ACCGTCGAGAAGACTGAAGAATAAAGAGAGGAGAGTCGGCTGAAATTTGAAAATATCGATCCATTCAGTGTGGGCCCGACGACAGTAACGTGGATGTGGAGGAAAGGCTAGTTTTCGATCGAGGTTTATGGATGCCAGCTGTTCATTCTTTTTATATAACGATTTGATTAGTTGACGTGGCATTGCCTGCCATGTCTGCTCTTTTTCTCTCTCTCCTTTGTAAGAGAAAAACGTACGAATTGAAAAAAGAGGTGGCTGTTTCAATGGTTGCGGCTCCGCTCGAGGGAGTCTTCTTCTACAGTTGTATATATTAAGTTAGATACGTGGAATCCTCATAACACCACCCTCACGCTCACTTGGGGACCACCATATAAAAGTCTAGATTCCGCCGCCATTGCTCCGACTCTCTTTCCATCACGTTTTTTAATTTCTATTTTAACATGCCACCTTTTTTTTCGCACCATAACTTTTAATTTCTATTTTACCATTCCAAGGGTCTGTTCGTTGAATGATACGGAGAATCGGAGCATTCACTGTATCCCCCCTATTTATACGATGCGTCTCGTCAAATCAAGTAATAGTAGAATTTCACTTATAAAAAAAAGAAAAATTTTAATTAACACCCTGTAATTTGGGTCTAATACCATTTTGGTCCCCGAATATTATAATACAATAACCCAGTATTGGCACTTTGAAAATGTGTGAATCTAATCCCTATTGTTAACCTAGCATGTGAAAAAATAAAAATATTTTTTGGGTATCATCTAATAGGTTTGAGAATATTTGAATAATTCTAGCTTTAGGTGTGTTAGTGCACATCTTTTCGCCAGGACCACCTATCTATCCTATCGGGCTGGAAAATAAAATTTCAATCACAAATACCGAAAGAAATAATTAACACCAAAAGAAGATGAAAATACATATACCTCTCTAATGCAAAATGTTCTCAAGGAAAAACAATACATAAAAATGAAGGCACTCAAACATTTGCTTTTCTAGTTTATTCATTGGATTCCACTTTCACATAAGCTCCTTATTGCATGGATCGGTTTTGGGTTGGATTCCCTCCAAATCAAAATCCATTTAGATGGATTGGACAGTCCATCTAAATGTTTTGTTCACTATTGCTTTGGTTTGGGGTTGTTCACTATTGCTTTGGTTCAATCATAATACTTGAGGAAGAAGATGATGAACAGTGTTTTGAAGGATAATTTTGATATTTTTAAAAAATTTAAATTGCACATGCCATCACGTGTTATACATAATTGATGGCTTGTTAACAGTAGGTATTAGATTGACACGTTTTGAAAGTTCAAGTATTGAGTTGTCACGTTTTAAAGTTTAGGGACCAAAGTGGCATTAGGCCCATAGTACAAGGTACTAATCGGGAATTTTCCCTAAAAAAATAATAATAGATTAAGGAGGTGTTTGTCAAGTCTTTTATTATAGTATTTTGGATTTTCAAAATTTGGTCTTTCTATGTTTAGCAATGAAAGACAAGAAGTCATAAAGACTTATGCCCTAAAAAGTTTATAGAAAACCGAAATGACTAAAAATTTGGAAGCTTCAAGTCTTACATCACTTAAAACTTTTCATTTACATGCTTTATAGATCATGGTGGAGTAGAATACTTACTAAAGGGTCTAGATCTTCAAGGATAAGGCCTCAAAAGCTCATTACATCTTTTGGCCATCTAGAGTAAGATACTTACCATAGGTATTGTTTGACAATCTTTTGGCCATCTAGAGTAGGATACTTACCATAGGTATTGTTTGACAAGTCTTTTAAGAAATATCTTTTGATGGTCCACATGGCCAAAGAATATATTGAGCTTTTAGAGTCACTTGTCTTTAAAAATCAAGATCATTTAATAAGTATTTTAGGAGGTATTTGATAACACTTTTCAGACATTTGGCATTCTAGAAAACTTGCTTTTCAGACACCAGATGTGTTTGGATGTGTGTTTGAATAGATGATCTTAAACGAATTTTTAGATTTGAACTAGTAAGACTCGAGCTAGGCATTGACATGGTTAGACACGTTTCAGACCTGGCCAAAAGTCCAAAATAACTTTATATATTTTTAAAATGACTTGTTATGCCCCTCTTTTAACTTGAATATGAGGCCATTCAAACTCTTCAACTTGAACGGGAAAGGAGATCCACCGCCCTCGATCTCTTTTGATATTTTTTTTGGCATTGTTCATCTTCTCCACTTGACGCAACAACGAACAAGCTTCTACCTCCCCCCCTCTCTCTCTCTCTCCCTTCTTCTTCTTCCCCAACGTTCTTCGCATCCTTTGCTTCATATCATCGTTGCTGCAACTCTTAGCAATGGTGGTGCCACCCATGCCTAGTCTCTCTCTTTTCCATTCCTTATTCCTCTTCCCTTCGTTTTCCATCTTTTCCTCTCTCTCTCTCTCTCTCTCTCTCTCTCTCTTCTTCCCTTCATCTAACTCCCCTGTTCTCATCGCCCCTTTGACCTCATGGCTCCCCTGTTTATCACCGTCACTCTTCCACCACTACAACTCTTTGGTTTCATCTTGGACTTCTACTAGCATGTCAATTGCTATGATACATTTCAATCACCCTCAAGAAAATCAATGGAGTTTAGGCCCTTCGTGAGGAGAGTCCAAAACCTTAATCAATCAACCAATACATCGATCTAGTGTTTCATTCCTGTTCGTCATTGATGATTCACACCATCTCCAACCTACATCACAATAGCATTTTGGGCGAAATCTCAAATCCTAGTTAGATAAGTGTGGAAGACCTGGAAAAAAGTTGACCCAACCCAACTCAAAAAAACAATGTTAGGGTCTCATATTTAGCTACCCGAATGTGAAAATGACCCAATCGGACCCGAAAAAACTGGGTTGGGTTGGATTGGGTTGGGTCATGGGTCAACCTGCTAACCCAATTGTCAAGTCTAATTGGGATTATTTATGCATTGTTAGAAGTTTCCACTCTTTAATTTTTTCTATTTAGTCTTTACTTTTTATTGTTTACTCTTTAAATTGTTAAATGTTCAAGTTTTTTTATTTTATATTTGGAATTTTAAGGTTAATTCTTTTAATTTTGACATTTTTCATGTAATTTTTCTTTATTTTTAAATTTTAATTATTTTTTGGGATGACCTGAATTGGCCCATGGGTCAACCATAACCCGAAAATTTAGGGTTAGGGTCAAGCATTTGACAACCCAACCCAAAACTCAACCCGACCCGAAATCAACCCAAAGTACCTTGACCCAACCTGAACCCGACCCACCCAATCCAATTGCCAGGTCTATGTGGAAGGAATAGTGATTTTATCTTCATCAATTATTTCCCTCATTTCAGCATAGAAACAACAATGGTTTTATCTGCATCAACCATCTCCCATTGCAGCAGATCCCATTCCTTGGCCACACTACAAATCTGGTAATCTTCGGAACTTATCTCCATATTCTAAGTTTTGGTGCGGTTGTCTGATGTCATCAATGAGAACCGGGTGATGGCACTTTAATGAATTTGAGTTTATTATTGTCAATGTTATATGAATTCTCTGCTAAATTTCTGGTATGAAATCAGTCAATTGTTAGCAGTGATTGAGGTTAGAGGCAGTGGTGAAGCTCTCCGCAAGGCTATGCTCTACGAGACCACTAAACTCAAAATTACCAAATAGTATATTTTTGGGGTAAAATAGTAAATTCAAGGAATTTTAGATGTTGAAGGATTCACCAAAACAAACAACATTATCTATTTAGAGCCTCTAAAAATAGAAAAGCATGTATACTACTTTTCAGATTTTAGACAAATAATATCTTTTTAATTTTTAAGATTTCTGATATATCAAACACTAACTTATTCTGTTGTGATCTACATGACTGTTAAGTGAAAGATTTTAGGCGTGAAAAGATGAACAACCTCATTTAAAAGCTTCTTGATTTTTGGCTTTAGCGAGTTTTCTGGAAGGGAAAATCTATGATACAAAAAAGATATGATATGGAAAGAGTTTTGATCAATCAAAGCCCATCCATGAATTTTGATAAATGACACTTGATTCGCTACCATGTTTATGATTCCAATTTATTGGTCAATTGTTTTTCCGATATCATATTTTTTCCATATCATAGTTGAACCCTTCTGGAATACAAGTATTTTCAGTTTTTTTTTTTATTACCGAACGATAAAAAAGACCAAAAATTGATCTCTAAACTTAGGGTTCAACTAAGATATGAAATCCAAAAAAACAACTGACCAATAAAATGGAATCATAAGCATAGTAGTCAATAAGGTATTATTTATCAAAATTCATAGGTAGGTTTTGATTGGTCAAAGATATATCTTTTCTGCATCATAAATTTTTCCCTAAACTTAAAAAAGAAAAGCAAAAAAACTTTACAAAAAGACTTGCCAAACGCCTAACATGAGACGCCCGAACACTGTGCGTTGTCTATTGTATCATCATACTTATTATGGACTTATTAAAACACTGTGTGTGTTGTCTATTTTCCCATCATACTTATTCTGGAGTAATTGATAATTATAAACATAAATAAATTGATAATGCGGGCCCTCAATCCATCCCAGCCCCAGCCCATTGGTTTCAATCAATCACAATTCACACACAGAGAATAGAAAGTTAGAAGCAAACAAAAAGCAGCTATCAGGTGACCATACATTCCACTCACGTGATCAAAGAGTCATTGAAGCAGATAAGATCAAGTTAAGCTTTTGCTAAAAGCCATCGCTAATCAGTGACTAGACCACTCTCCGACCACTGGGGTGATGCCACCTGTCCCAGTCATTTTCACTTTACTTTTCTAATGCATATTGGTAAAGGTGGAGCACTCTTCTTAATCCGGTTCATGCCCCATGGACTTCGCTTAAAAGAAGAAATTCCACTCACTAATAATTATTATACACAAATAAATTTATTCAATAAGATGTGCAAGAAAAAGCTGGAGCCGTGGAGCCAAATTATTCACAAAAAAAAAAAACATTTAATATTAAATTTGGCAAGGCTTCTAAAATTAGATCAGTACAAAAGTTAATCCAAAAGAATGAGATTCAAATATCTCAAAGTACATAATTTCAAGAAAAAAAAAAAAAAAAGGAAGAATCCACAAGATAAAAGTCTAAGAATCCACAATTAGGTTTCCCTTCTTCCAATATCCCCTTTGTATCCTAATTAATTCTGATTTCTCTGTCTTGTAATTTTTTAATCTATGTTCTGCTTTCTTTCTACACATTTTCCTTCATTGTTTGGAGCTTTTGTAAGCTAGCTAATACTAAGTAGCCTATTAGCCTACTGTCGCATGAACCAAATATCCTCAATGTTCCACAAATTGTCCGATGTGTCCCCATCGACCAACCACATGTTGTTCTGATCGATGGCTTGGAAATCTAACCCTTGGTTAAAGTAACCAGTGGGGCTAGTTAGGGATTCCTGATAATTAACCTGGGAGGCTTGGAAATTGTCGACGTAACTGTTGGGCTGAAGAGTGGTATAGTAATCGGCCAGGTCCGAAACCGGGGATACTTGAGTTCCTATGGAGTCTGATGAACCGGCGGTGCTCGAATTCTCAGGGGTGAAGCTGGTATTAACTTGGGCAATCCCGACGTCATTGTTGCTCCCCGCAGACGGGACCTGACTCGCCATGATGTCGGAATTGTCACCGTTGATGGGGTGATAGGCGACAGTGGCGGTGGTTGTCGTCGTCGTCGTCGTCGTATTGGCGGTCGAAGAAGCTGCAGCAGCTGCCTGGATTCTCTCGACCAACCTCGGCATCCATAGATAACGCATGGTGTCTTTGAATTGTTTGCTGTTCACGTCACATTGGAGTTGCTTTGCGTGCTTCTGAACCCTTGTTCTCCAGTAGTTTTTGATCTCGTTATCGGTTCTTCCTGGTAAGTATTGAGCGATTTTAGACCACCTGGAATCATTCCCGGAAACAAAGAAAGTAGATTAGATTAAATGACACAAAGCAGTCAGAGAAATAAAACCGGATGATACTAAGATGGAGATTTTGTCAGGCATACCGATTCCCCCAGCGAGAATGAAGTTCGAGAATCAAAAGCTGTTCCTCAAGGGTGATGTTTCCACGTCGAACGTCCGGGCGTAAATAGTTCAACCATCTTAATCTGCAACTTTTTCCGGTTCTCTTCAGACCTGTTTCAAGGAAATGGGGTTAGATTCGAATTCAAGAAATACAACAGAAGGTCCCATTCTTTTTCTTTGTTTAAATTTTGGTAAAGTTTTCTGAGAAGCCCATTTTCCCACGGTTTGTTCTTCCTTCTGTTGTCTATTGTTCAGTGATAGGATATTCCGACATATCTATGGTTTGCTATTGTTTTAAATGGTGTAGCCAAATATCCAAATTGTTTTACATGGCTTTTCTATATTCTAACCCAATCTCATTATATAAAAACAAAGGTCTTTTGTATGTATATCTTTTCATATAGCTTTGTTTGAGCAAAGGACCTTTGTTTTTCATCGAAATTCTGGAAAAGAGAAAGAAAAGATGGAAATGATTATTAATTTCTTTCGTGCTTTCTTTTCTTTTATTGCTCGTCGGTTTCGGCTCTAGAAGCTCTTGGCTTTTAAACCAGCTGCAGGCTTGAAGACCCACAACTCTGTTTTAAGACAGATACATAGAAAAGAGAGATGAAAAAAAAAAAAAAACACTATAAGAGCGATCCGTTTGGATGGTATTTTACCTGCGCACCGGGCGAGGGAGTTCCAGCGACCTTCGCCATGATTGGCAATGTAATTGATGAGTATGAGATCCTCTTCGACAGTCCATGGACCTCTTCGAAGGTCCATCTCTTCTTCACTCGAAGTTCCAGAGATGCAACCTCTCCCGTTAACATCCATTCCCTCAAAATGGAGAAAGAGTTCGTTGATTGACAGCGAGAAGACCAAAGGAAAACGAGTGTCTGTTCTGTATCCGATTGAGAGAAGTAATGAACGAAGAATGGGAGAGAAGGGGAGGAGAGAGAGAGAGAGAGAGAGAGAGATGTGAATCAGACTGGACTAATTTGGAGGGATAGAGAGAAGTGGGGAATTTATAGATGGAAGATGGATGGGAATGAAAAATATTAAATAGGGTGGGCATCTGGCATGTGAGAGAACACGCCGCAAGAGGGGATTAGATTAATTTATAAGAATCAATAAAACCTGTTTAATTAACTATTAGTTTAATGCTAATAGTGACTAGGATGGTTTTGAACTTTGACACTTTGACTTTCAGGCCGCGTCTCTCCGACTCTTGCTGGGTAATACCAATTAACAAGCTTTAGCCTTGGTGGGAAAATGGTTTCTTTTAATTAGTGGGTAGTACAATTGTGGTCCTCCTGAGCTGCACGAAATCGGTCCGGCTGCGCCTTTCTTGGACCGCCCAGGTTATTATAAGCTAAGTTAGCTAACAGAGCTTAGTATGCAATGAAACCGGAGAGTTCAAATCGGAGAACAAGTTCACTTGGTGAGGTGGCATAAGGATCATTCCTTGTTGTTGGACTTGGACGTGGGTGAATGAAGTCAAGCGGGATCTGCTCCTCACAAATGAGTGCGCGAAATGTTCCTCATGCATTGTAGAATATGCGTGTGAGGCACCAGGGGCGAGGAGCAGATCCGGCCTCAAAAGAAGTGCAGCGAATGGATTTTGAAAGAGCAGTGTAAAACATAGGGTTTTTCTGGATCTGGGGCCGTCAAAAGAGAAAAAGGACGGACAATGGAAACAAGGTTATATGTGGCCCTGCAAGGAGTTTTGGTGTTAAGGCTCGGCGGTGGAGCCAAAGATTCATGATGGTGGTGGCCATAGAGCGGTAGGCCATGCATCAATTGGGAGCACTGAATTTGAATGAATACTTTTTAATTAATTCTGTCATTCACTTATCAAACGGGGCCCATTCAATGAGTTCAAATCAGTACCCTTCCCGCAATGTCCAACAGCACATCCTACCGTGTATTGGAACATCTCTGGATGATGAGCATCACCGGAGATATTCTCAATACACAGCGGGATGTGCTGTGGGACGTTGTAGGGAACTATATTCTGGGGACCTGATTTCTAATGCAAGGTGGAATGTATCTGTGAGGTCAGTGTATGTATAAAGAGCAGACTGGTCTCCCCGTTCAATTTGGATGACATACATGAGAAAATGTATTTTAAGTTTGCAAAAGTACGGGCAGGCTTAATGTAGACTTCTTAATTCCATTGCACACATAAACATTCAAAATGCCTGTCCTTGAATTGACATCAATTACTCCAATTGTAATTTGGGCCTAAAAATTCTGATTCTGAGCTGAACTGTCATTCTCTCTTTAACAATGCAAGATAGATTAGGAAAGAGAGAGAGGAACTGTTTTTCTTTTCTATTATTTTATTTTTAATTTTTCCTTAGAACAAAGATTTCCCCAGGTACTCTTAATTTCTCATTTTGAATGAATTTTTTTTTGGGTGAATTAAGTTTTCAAAGAATTTAAGTTTCTTGTCAAATCATACATTGTAAAAAGATAATTTCTTTTCCCGTGTTTTCCTGCGATGCAGTATTAATAGATCGGGTTCTGAAATTCATGATCCAACGACCCACTACTACGATAACCATATATATCTAAATTTACGATGAATGTCCCATTAGCTCTAGGCCCATTGATTGGTTGAGTATTTATTTGAGCAACTGTTTCGCGGGTTTCATTTGCTTGGATATAAGTAAGCTTCCAGTGTTTTTGTGCAATTCACATTATTATTCAGATAAAAAAAAAAGGTAGAGAGAGAGTGTGTCATTGGTGTGCCGGTAAATCATTTATCCATCTCAACAAAGTACCTGATAATCTCTGGTTTAATGTGAAACCCAATATAATTAATTGTATATGAAAATGGATTGTGGTCAATTGCCCATTTGATCAATTTAACCTCCCAACTAAATACCGGCAAACGAATGGGGCCTTAGGTGAAGGGACCCATTGTACAGACTCTTTTCTAAGAAAATGTTCTAAATTATATATTTTATAAAATATAAAAAATAACAAATAACCAATCGAGAAAAACATATAAAAACACAAATAAATAATTGAAATATTTTAATTAAAAAATCATTTACAAATTTCAAAACTTTTAATTGTATATTTATATTTTTGTGTATATATTTAATACATTATACCAATGTTTTAAGAAACGATTTAGGATCGAAACTGTTCTGACCATCGGTTTTTGGGTTGATGGTTTGATCATCCAATTTAAATGAACAGCCCTTTTTAATAAAAAAAAAAATTGAATGGGTTGAACAGGTTGATGGTTCGACTGCCAAACTCAACATTGATTAATTCAAGACTGAGTTTAAAGTAAAACAAAACCAACTGTCTGAACGGTTTCTGGTCTAAATATTTCGACGATCAATAGCGGTTTGGAAACATTGCATTATACACATATTTACACGCATAAAATATACGGGATTCTTCATTATTGCCTTGTAAACTTTTAGTAAATAAGAATAAGATGTTTTTGTGATTAAATATTTTTTAATTTTCCTGAAAATTATATATATTAGTAGGGGTGTCAATTGGACTGGATTTGGTTCAATCCGGTCCAGTCCAATGTGAGTCCATTATAAATGGACCTGGTCCAATCCATTCCAATGAATATTTTGAACCATTTTGGACCGGTCCAGAGACTGTCTAATCTGTTCAAATTGCTGTTAATTTAGATTGGTTTCAACTCAAACCTGGTCCATTGACACCTATGTTCTTATCTTTTATCAATGGACCACATATTGGACCAATCCAATATAAATTTATTATGGGCGAACCAGGTCCAATCCAATATATCATATTGGTTCATCCAATCCATCCAAATTCAATATGTCTTATTGGTCCATCCAAATGGATTTTGATTTGGATGGAATCCAATCCAAAACCGGTCCATTGACACCCTATATACTAGTTACGGTGGGACCCTCCAAGCACTATCCAACAAGAATTTCCACGACTATTTCGTAGTACGGCATACACATGAGTTACCGTCAACGTCTGCGATTCTGCGGCCGGCCGAAAAGCGAGAAGATGAAGTTCTATCTAATTGTAATACACCGCAAAATTGCGTTGGAATTCATCGGCGATTACGCTTCCGTTTTCTTATTACACGATTCCAGTGAAGCGAGCAACCGACAAGTACTGGCTCCTGCTGCTGGGTTCTGTGCTGGAGGCTTCCCTCCTCATCGCTCGTCGGCTCTGGCTTGGGAAGTAATGATGAGACGTATCAATCTGTGGAACCAGGGCCCTAATATTCTCTCCGATGGATCCCAATAAAATTGGCTTTCATATAGAGATCCACATTACAATAATGCAATATCTCCAAGTATAGTATCTAAGTAATCAATCAATCAATCAATTGCTTCCTCCCAACAGTCAGTTGAATGAAACCATGGCAAATGAAAGATCGCCAAAGTAGCACAGCTGGTGGATCTACCTTGAGGAATTTCCAGTTGAACTTCTTTTCAATCTCCCCCCTCCCTTTCCACCTATCCATCCCTATTTTCCATAGGTTAGGACTTGGTGCTGCTTTCATTTGCTTGAATAGCCTTTTTCATTCATTAGTCTTTGCTGCAGCTCACAAATCTATCCTACTCAGCTACTCTTATGTCACAATCCAATCTATTACTATCATCTTCCCTAGCAAAACTAGATATTATAAAATAATTTCATTAAATTTCTCACTATTAACATTTAAATATTCATATATATTATTGTTCCAGTTTCTACTGTTAGAATTAATGTCTTCTTTGTTATCAAACCTTGAAGGGGAAATGAGACAATTAATTAATTAAATCATACAATGTTACTTGTAAAATATTAACAACCAATTGGTCTGGTATCCATTTTTCACCTTGTTCTGCTCAAGGGCTGCTCGATGAGGACTGAAGTTGCTGAACTGAATCACTTATTGTCTTATTTTAATAGAGATATAAAATAATTAAATAAGAAAAATATTATATTATAATATATAATAAAGCCCAAATCTGGCTTCATTGGATCGCTTATGCAGTGATTGAGCTACGTTGACTGAACTGCTTATGAGAAACTACCTTCCATATAGCTTCATTGGAATGTCAATTTTTAGGGTTATTTAAGCCTATTTTCAGCTTTCTTGAGTTTTACCCAATGGGGCTTTATGACTTTTCGGGTTGGGTTTCGTGGTTCATGTAAAGCCAAAAGCCACGGTTTGAAAGCCCTCCCATAAGAGGGGGCACTAAAAGACAAGACGACGAGTAATTCAGTTCAGTCACTTCAGCTTTTATCAAATGTCTCTTCAATCTTTTGATGGCCAAAAACACAAAATTAAAATTAGGGGGGGGGGGGGGGGGGGGATGGGGAGGGGGATGGGGATGGGTGGGGCATGAGAACTTGGAAGAAACAAAAATTTCTTCAAGTATTCCTGTTAATTAGTAAAACCAAATTGGAAAACCTGAATTTTGATTGGAATTTATTGAAATACGTTTAGCTGCTAGAATTTAGAAATAAAGGACGCATGCATCCAAATAAGGTGCGTGCGTCCATAGCTTTAGTTTCTTAACGTCTGTTTCCAGAACAAAGCCATTGTGCCTTGACCTTAACATCTTTTCTTTCCTTTTTCCATTGTTTAAGTGACCTAAGTCTAAGATGGTGGGGTTCACTCTTCACTGACTTGTCTTTGTCAAAGGGGCGAGGAGCTTATATGTAATAAACAGTATTAGAACACTTGCAAATTAATAAAATTATCCAAATAAGAAGAAAATTGAAGACATCCAATTTATTTGTAATTAATATTGTTGTTGATTAATTAGAGGAGGAACATCTATATAAAGTATAGACTGATCTGAACTTAACTCAACTGGTGGAGGTTCATTCTAGTTCTCTAGAGAGATTCCTGATCAAATCGGTTCCTTACTCCCCAAAAGGAGACCTGAGGGAGAAAAGCCCAACAGAAGCAAGAACTTAACACGTGGCTAACCTGCCTACAAATTTTTTGAATTTCTTCCGAATCGCACACCACCATGACTATTGGCTATTACCGGTTACCGTCTTAGAACGGGGTCACTCATCACGTT